GCCACCACACCCCACCCCCCCTGTGTGCCCCTAGTGCCCACCCGCGCCCAGGGCGGGGAGCCCCGGGAGGGGCCTCGGGGGTCTCCGTGTGCCCTCACTGCTCCCAGCGCCACCAGTCCCAGAGATCCCAGTATCCTCCCATTGCTCCCAGTAACCCCAGTGCCCACCTCAGGGCTGTCCCAGTGACTCCAGCTACCCTCCCCCACCGCTCCCAGCAACCCCAGTACCCCACGGCTGCTCCCAGTGGCCCCAAGGCCCACCCTTGGGGTCCCAATGGTCCTGAGCCCCCCACACTGCTCCCAGTGACCCCAGTACCCCCCCCCAGGGGGGACCCACTGACCCCAGTACTGCCCATACTGGTCCTAGTGACCCCGGGTACTGCCCATACTGGTTCCAGTGACCCCAGTACCTACTCAAGAGGAGGTCCCAATCATCCCAGTACCCCCACACTGCTCCCAGTGACCCCAGTATGCACACAATTGGGGTCCCCATGATGCCAGTAGTCACCTCAGAGTCTCCGTGACCTTAATACTCCCCTCAAGGGGGGGTCCCAGTGACCCCAGTACTGCTCATACTGGTCCCAGTCACCCAGTATCTACTCAAGAGGAGGTCCCAGTAGCCCCACACTGCTCCCAGTGACCCCAGTACTGCCCATAACGGTTCTAGTCACCCCAATACCTACTCAAGAGGAGGTCCCAGTCATCCCAGTACCTCCATGCTGTTCCCAGTGATCCCAGTACTGCCCATAATAGTCCTAGTCACCCCATTACCTACACAAGGGGAGGTCCCAGTCATCCCAGTACCCCCACACTGTTCACAGTAACCCCAGTACTGCCCATAATGGTCCTAGTCACCCCAATACCTACTCAAGAGGAGGTCCCAGTCACCCCAGTACCCTCATACTGCTCCCAGTGACCCTAGTACCCACCCAGGCAGGGGGTCCCCATGACCCCAGTAGTCACCCCAGCGTCCCAGTGACCCCAGTACTCCCCTAAAGGGGGGTCCTCATGACCCTGGTAGTGCCCCCAGTACCCCCCCAAAGGGGGGTCCCCCTGATCCCAGTAGTCCCCCCAGCGTCCCAGTGACCCCGGTACCCCCCCAAAGGGGTTCCCCCGACCCCAGTAGTCCCCCCAGTGACCCCAGTACCCCCCCCAAAGGGGAGTCCCCATG